CTTGTGCCTCGCGGACAGTGATCAGGCTTTGGGGTATCAGGTGGTGAGTTACTCGCCACAGTATTCCTAGTTCCTGACCTGCTCTTGTAGCCACTGTGTTTATGTGGCAAGCCCAGTTCAGTTTCTGGTCAACAGCAACACTCAGGATGTTGATAGTGGGGGATTCAGTGATGGTAACATCATTGAATGTCAGAGGGCAGTATTTAGGATGCCTGGCATTTGTAAATTTGTAAATTGTGTGGCCACTTGTCATCCCAAGCTTGGGTATTGTCCAGATCTTCTTGCATTTGAATATGGACTGCTTTAATATCGGAGGAGTCATGATTGGTGCTGAACATTGTTCACTGATGATTGCACATCATCAGGCTGAAATGGATCATCCACTAGGCACTTCTGGCTGAAGAGTGCTGCAAATGCTTTTGCCTCATCTTTTGCACTGATGTGTTGGGCTCTTCCTTTATTAAGAATGGGAATATTTCTAGAACCACCTCCTCCAGTGACTTGTCTGTCTCTGTGATCTTCTCTAGACCCACTACATTCAGATAGAAGATATAATTCAGATAAAATTATGACTTCTTGTGCATCTCCAGTTTTAATTCCTCCACCACTGGGATCAAAGTCCTGGAGTTTTTCAGGGTTCCATACTTATTCTCACTAACTCCTTTATTACGTGATACAGTCACATAACAGTACCTTTGGTCATTGTATGTGTGTTTCAACATTTTCAGCGTTTCCTTCAGATCGACACGATAACATAAATATCAAGTGAAAAGTCTCAGTAAATTATAACAGGTCACCTGATCTGAAGGCAACGATCAGTCAGATCAAAACAGCATGTTAAGCATGAACTAATGCTAGAATAAAAACTTATTTTGCAAAGTAACGCAACTGTTTGACCACATATGGCTTATGCAATAACGTTTCAAACAAAACCAGAACAGAGAAAACATGCAAAGTGGGTAATATTACAACAAAGAAAGTTCTCTACCGCCCCCATCTTTGCTGCTACAACAATTATAGCTTATGTCTCTGGAGAAGCAACAATAGCAGGAGGGAGCATGTCATTGGAAAACAAGGAGCAACAATATCAAAGTGACAGAACTTACAATTGGTGTAGCAGTTCCTTTCTGGTCCAGTACCCCACTCTTACTCACTACTCCACTGAAAAAAAAATGTTGTTTTTCCACTCCTTTGTCTCTGATACTTCAAACTTGGACAGGAGAGCCTTTTCTTGAATTTATCACCATCTTTATTTTCTCTTTGGTTACAGGCAATGTTTCAGAAGCTAATTCACTAGGTATGCCTGTTTATTTTACACTCTACTTCTTCAGTTGCCAGGCGGCAAGCTCTAGAATTCTTTCTTTTCGCCTCTACTTCACTTTTCTGCTTAAACATTCCTTAAAAAGCTCCCACTTCAATCAAACTTTTGGTTATTTGACCAAATACTCCATCATTTGGCTAGGTAATATATACAGTATTTTGATTTATTATGCTCCTATGAAGCTAGAATTTTTTTTTTAACCTTAAAGAATTATACAACTTGTTGTTATTGACTGCCAAATGTCCAGTGCTGGAAAATCTCGTTCAGATAATAGGCTGGGAAATCTTATTCAGGTAACAATATACACTCTAATATCGCACTCCAAAGCAAAGTAATACCATCTCTAAACCAATATATTCTAATGATGTAGCTATTAAGACATGCTCAATTTTAAATTATAATCTCATGACAGATGTTATAATGTTCATAATAACAAACAAATCAATCCGGGTATGACTATAACAAAACCAGAAATTGCTTGAGAAACTCAGCATGTCTGGCAGCATCCGTGGGGACAAAAGCAGAGTTAACATTGAGTCCAGTGACTCTTCATTCTGATGAACAGTCACCGGGTTCAAAATGTTAACTCTGTTTTCTTTCTGCAAATGCTGCCAGATCCTCTGCCTTTCTCCAGCAATTTGTTTTTGTTTCAGATCTCCAGCTCTATTTTAGTTTAGCTGTGATTATATTTTGGTGTGAAAATGGCACTGCAATTCTCCAGTAAGGAATGCCCTAACATTCAGATTTTCTGAATTTTACAATTTTTGACTCAATGCTTTATGCAAATAGTTAACAAAATAATTCACTCATCGTTAGGTCCAGAATGATCAAACCCCAAGAAATATGTGAAGGCAACAATTCTGAAATTTCATTTAACTAAATTCAGAACATAGGATATAGCAGAACCAAAGTAAAAATCAATTTAAGTATCTTCTTTGTTCAAATTAAAATTTCTTTATAGCTGCAAAGCCAAGATACCTTTCTTCTGACAACCTCACTATAACTTGCCAGCACTTGCTATCCATTTTCACAAGTGAAAAAAAAGTAGTTTGTGGAAGGTACCAGACAGTAAAAGGCAGCATTGGGATTGTATGAAAATTGGAAAAAAAACACTTCCTTTATGACAGAAAGGAGGGAAAAAAATTCATGAAAATGAGTGAGAGTGCATTTTTGTGCTGATACGGAAATACAGAAGAGTTTTTATTGCAAAAGTGAGCTCAAGGAACAGAAAAATGATAGACAAGTCTGAAAAAGACTCAGGGCAAACTCTAGTCCGTACTTTTTAAATTATATGTCCAAATTTATCAAAAGGATAATTTATCAGATGTGATCATAAACAATGGAGCAGGCTCAAAGGGCCAAATGGCTTACTCCTGCTCCTATTTTCTATGTCTCTGCAGAATGGATTTTTAAAAATCAAAACAGTCAATTCTAGTCCTTTTATCTGAATGCATCCCCCATTACTTCCTGCAGTATTGTTAGTGAATGTTGATGACATTGCCTAGGCCTAATTAGCTTCAGAATACCCTCCAATGTACCCCTCCGTCTTTCCTCCTCTAACAGTCCTTAAAGCTACCTGTATATGCAAGCAATTGGCAATTTGATTAAATACCATGTGACTTAGAGCAATCTTTTGTTTTACAATGCTTGGGATGATTCAAATTAAAAGGTGCCATATAGGTATTATTTATCATTGCTCCTCTAATTTGTCTCACTGCTTCACCTGAAGTGCCAAGCCAAGAGGTAACCTGACTGTGGATTCTCACAAACAACCAGTGTCTCGTGTAAGAGGCATCCTTCAACTGAGTTGGTAAGTATGAGTTTAGTCAACATTGGAAGGCAACATACCTATTTGGTTGTGTTCTCAAAGTCACACATACATGCTAATTTGAATAGATAAACCTACTGCTGCTCCTTCTCCTGCCAAGCTGAGTGTTGATACAAATGAGAACAACCTAAGCAAAACTAAATAAGTAACAGACTGAAATTGAACACAGTCTTCTGATCTGAACAACTTCATTCCAAACCAATAATGCATTTGCCAACTGAGCACAAAGGAAATCATTCAGCTCTTGGGACACTTGGGCAAACTGGCGTTACACTCAATATCAACTATGATCCATAATTCTTCAGAAATGGCACAAAAAACAACTGTACTTTTTCAGCAAGTTGTTTAAATTCACCAATTTCTCAGTATAAACTGGTTTCTGACAGATTGCACGTTATTTTCATATGTTGAACTTCTTAAGAAAACACTTTCTAAATCAATTCTCCCAAATTAAAACATTAATTGCATAAACATTTATTCATATTCAAGTGTACTTTTAACTGGACATATATTCCAGCTATAATTCTTCTTTCCTTCATCAGCATTTAAATCTATTGGTTCTCTTACCATTTTGCTAATTTTAAATTCCCTTTATATACCTTTTATACATCATTTTCTACATTTTGTTGCCACTGTACTTTGCAACAGTCCTTTTCCATGTTTTTGGTTTTTGTGGTAAGATTCATACAAATATTTTCACTTTTTATTCCCCACTGTACTTCGTTATCTGACAACACAACCCTAAATATCACACAGGGCCGACAGTTGAACTCGGTGACAATTTAGTTTTATCTGAATATTGTAACCTACTTCTCGCAATCATATCCTGCTCGCGCTAAGGCATACGTCACCATGCAGATCGACGACTACTGTACACCTGGTATTCGATTTTTATACCCATCTCATCCTTCCTCAAAACGACTCTTAAAAAGGCAGAAATTTTAACATGTCTCTCAATCTTGTCAGTTTCCGATTATATAACACTCTCGCAGATTAAACCCCAATACGAGTCAGCTATTCTGTTTCATAAATGCTTTATGGCTTCCGCTCCATCTAGCTACATGTTATTTCAGGTTCAGCTGCGGGGTCACTGGTCAACTGCAGTTATGAGATACCCTCTACATTCACGCATTTAAAAAGCTAATGGGAGGGGCAATATCACGATCTGGAAAAATCGTAAAAAATATCAATGCAGTAAATGATCAATGCGATCGGAAAGCGATATTCGAGATGGGGTTTTACGTTTAGTTCTAAAGATACCCACCAGTTGCAATAACCCTGGATAAATCGACCCTCACAGATCAAAACACTTGCTTTATTTTTCATATTTGCGGCTCTCTGATCTGTTCGCTCTGTTCCATACTGCTGAAACCCCACAGTCTTTCATTTTTACAGAACGCGTATTATCCCTCAGTCGCTTTATTCGGTTATACCTTGGGGCGAAGAATGTGTCAGCACGAGTCGCTCTCAAGCAGCCCAGCGACTCCAAGGGATTGAAGGGAATAAAGGGGCCGGGGTCTGTCACCGCATTGAAGCCACTCAACGGGGCTCCTGTTCTCAGTGACTCAACCGTAATTTGTTCCGACCTCAATTGGTTGCTCAGACCAAGATGAGGTGATCTGACATTCGTATTCCTCCACATAAACAATTTATTCATTTTAATAACTGTCTCCATTTTGCTCGCAGTCATTAGACTGCGTCAAAGTTCGGGAGTGGTTGGTGCCTCGGGCCAAGCAGGGACAAGTCTTTCAGAGAATTGCAGCATTTCTCTGGGTCGTGGTTCCTGTCAAACGGACAGACAAGCAATAACTACAGGTCAAGGGGTTAGCTTTGAGTGCGGGAGTGGCTCACCTCCTGTTCGTTCTCCCCAGGCTCGGCTGAAACCCCGATCTCAGTTGGCAGCTCCACCAGGTCGGTCACTCTGATTAGCCCATCGTGTAGGAAAAGCGTCTCCTCTTTCACCGAGAGCCACTGGGCCGAATCGGCCGCAGCTGCGGCCGCCACTGCAGCCGCCGCCGCCATGGCTCCCGAGGGCCGGCGCCAACACACGGACAGCACGCTGCCGCCTCACGCCGCCGCCATTGCAACCCGCCGCTCTCTTCAGCCCCTCAGCAGGGGTGGGTTTTATAATAGAGGGGCAGAGAAAGGGAAGAAAACCCCAGTAACCAGAGGGAGGGGTGGGGGGGGAAGGAGGAGGAGAGCGGGCGGGAGTTCAAACACAGTCAGCTCCTCCGAGGAAATACTGCGGGGGGAGGAGAGGGTTGTTGGCGGCCGCTTGGACGGGGCTGGGTCTTGCTCCCTCACTCAGTGACAGTCGGAGCGACGCCGCTTTCACACCAGCGGCCGTCAGCGCTCACACTGACGCCATATTGGACAGATAAGGGACAGTCCCCAAAATGCACCGCGTCACGCACGGCGGCGCGCACAGCCGGCAATCCATCAGCAGGGGGGGCAATGCCCAGCCGGGCTCTTCCACCAGCAGAGGCTTCACCGACTGCACAAATGCTCACAGCCGAGATTTAGGACGGGATTGTACAGGATAGATGGCGTAGTTCATGATTGGCATGGTTTCACGAGGGGAAAAGAAATTCTTCGAGCGCTGAAGTCTAGAAACCACACCAAAGGGAGAGAAACTGCATACTCGAAGCGCACATTTTCAGGTGAGACCTATAACAGATGTAGGAATCCAAGACGGTTACTAATGGGGTACTCCATCCAGGAGGTGCGCGCGGGAGGCCGATTAACCAACAGGACACCAGCTGGGAAAACAAAGTTGAATGGTATAAAAACAGAGGGGGGGGGGCAATCTTCCCAACAGTGGGGAATTCATAACAAAATAAAAGTATACACCAGGGGGGAATCTGTAGGGAACGTAGTGGCAATCCATGGGAAAAGGCTTACATCAAAGAACAATTCAAAGCAGGAGGCTAACGATCCCTGGAGTGTTGTGCGCACTGGTAACGTTTCACGAGAGAGCTGTTCATTAAATAGCGAGAATACGTGACACAACAGTCCACAGCAGAATTGACACACCAAAACAACTCACAAGAATATACAAGAGAGCAGTCAACCAGAGCTGGGGGTAGGGAGCTGTAACACCACGAAACACTTTGCATGGAAAGAGATAGATAAACGATTATAGGAGGAATATTCCACTAGGGTAATAAAATAATAAACAGTGAGTAATAAAAACAAAGTGCTGGAGAAACTCAGTGGGTTGGCGGCATCTACGGTGGGAAAAAAGATTGCCTTTTCGAGTCAAAAGTGACTCTTTCTGTTTTTATTTCAGATCGCAAGCATCCGCGGTGTTTTGCTTTTCTTTGAGCATATAACTGGGGGTCATAACTTGTGCGCACTGCTGGTGCTTTGAGCAATAGAAGGCATTGCCAAAGTGCTCACACATTGAAATCCTCCAACAGCAGGATAATAGTGTTGCATACCTTTTTTGGTATTACCAAGATACGGTATGCATCACTTAGAAGACGATCAGTAATAAACATTAAGTACTGGGGAATGTCTACGTTGTTACCAATGCCAGTAATATACAAGCCTGAGGTAACAGTAGGAAATCACCACCAGGGGCAGTAGCATCAATGAATACGAACTGGAGTATCGCAGCAATATATACAAGAGTCAATGCAGGAATGGGAACAATAGCAGAACATACACAAATTGGCGCACTGCTATGTACAACAGGAGGAATAAACTATTGAGGAAATAGCAAAAAAAAAATGCTGGCCAAACACAGCAGGTCTGGCACCCCCAGCTGTTTTGAAGAGTCACCGGACTCAAAACATTAACTCTACTTTTTCCCCACAGATGTTGTCATACCTGCTGAGTTTCGCTAGAAATTTTTGTTCTTGTTTCAGATCTCCAGCATCCACAGTTCTTTGTTTTATTTTGGAGAAATAGCAATATGACTGTAGAATCGTATGAGGAATATATGTTGCAGATAAAGTAATAGTAGCAATCTAAATTACTGGTAATAGTGGGAATAGCGCATTGAAGACAGCTAAAGATATCAATATGCACACACATATATGTGGGGACTAAAGGAGAAATTGACAGGCCAAAATGTAGAGGAGTAATAGGGCATTTCCTAAGGCAGTATTTTCAGATATAAACCATAGATAAGTATACATTTCAGAAGAGGTAGGGAAAATATTCTTGTAGTTCATTATATTTCCCCCTTAGTGTATTATGCATTGGTCTTTTTTTTAAGACCAATGCATAATACACTAAGGGGGAAATATAATGAACTACAAAAATAAAGTGGTATCCAAAGCAATAAGGAAAATCTGCAATCATGCATAAAACATAAGTAAATGTTGTACAGTACAATTCAGGATCAATGGGGAGAACATCTTACAGCACAAAAAGGCTATGGGAATACACTAAGGAGAGTGTAGGAAACATAATATAGAAATGAAAGAGAGCATTTTACAGGGACATTTAGGAAAATGTTACTGGAAGTAATAGGGATTCATCCCATGAAACAATGAAAGTGAGAGCTCTCAGAACTAAATAACAAAATGGGCAATAGAGAACATAATATGATTAAAGCTAACAAACACACAGGGAAATGAGAGATATGATGTAGGGTCAATGATGTCAGTGGATGGTGGTGTTAGGATGCTGGTTTCTGAAAGGGCCGCACAGTAAAATACAACACTACTATTTACATGGTACAAAATGAATAAATTGAACTGTGAAAACATGGAACACAGAGCTATTTTGTTAGTTTACAATACAGGGTGGCTGTTTTAATTCAAAATAATTAAACTCAAATTAGCTGATCATTCAAAAATGTTAACATTACATTCACACTTTGCTGTGTACTTTAAACCATTAGGTAATTCACAACTTTTCATCCAAATTTGACTAGAATAACAGGAATAGACTGTACTTATGACATTGCATGTTCATGCATATTCATTCCTCTATAATTATATTTTAGAGCTACAGAAACCACTTGCCAATCAGTATTATTGCAAGAATAATATCACTGTACCCTCCAATATATACTTTCAAAGGACAATTCACATTATTTTTATTTCATTAATACATCATATATCTGTCTACAAAACTGCTAAAATTCCAGAATATCATGCAATCAAGATGGAATGTTACTTATTTAATAGCTTTGTTAATACATTCTGCATTAGATGACAATACACGTCAGTTGTCACAAAACAACAGTTTAGATTATATTTTCATCCTTGCCACCAGGGTATTAAGCAATTAGATTGCAACATAAATAGGCGGGGAGAATCTACATTGGTAATAGAATCTACCTGAATTTTCTCCGACTGAAATTCAATATTCTAGCAAAATCTTTATTTAAGCTTCCAAGATTTATTCAGCATTTTCAGTTCTTATGGTTCCTCAGGCGTCCTGTTTCCCTCCATTACCCAGCTCAAGCCCTCCACCATTGCAGTGCTTCTAGAAGCCAGGCCCTTCTCTCATATAGCTAGTCTCAGCACTTCCAGAACAGTCACCCAACTCTTCCCATGCCTCAGTAAATTGCAATAACCCCACATCCAAATGTCGTGTGTTGCTAAATCCATCAAAACTCTGTATTCCAAGCTATATGATGTTACATTAGTGCTTCCTGATCTATCAATACCCCTTATTCTGAGCTCCTTCATGTACCTGCATCATCACTGATTTCTTATGGATTTGATCAATCCTTAGTTCTTTAAATTCCTCAAGGCTTTCCAGTCTCAAAACAGCTTGAGTCCACCCACCAGATGGCCTGAAGACTTTCAAACCACACACCCTTGTTCACAGTGCACATAAGACTAGTGAATAGCTTTAGGTTCCAACCCTCTCATTGGAATACTGACAGATTTTAAGCCCTCCTCCAAGATCTCAGACACATATCTCAGAGTGTTTTTAGACTCCAAGATTCCTTGGCCCAATAACTCATAATTATATCCAGGTCCAACACTCCTGGTATGCCATTCCACATTTCCACATGCACCCTCCTATAGTCCTACTAGGCCCAGGCCACAGCCCCTCTTCCTCCTACTCTCCCCTGGCCTGACTTCTGGCTCCATCTTCAGTTTTGACTTTAAAATAAGCTATCTTCAAAAATCTTGTTTATTTCAGTGAGTGGGAGTTGTATCAGCATTTAGAGCTTATTTGTTTTGCGTGTAAGATCTTGAAAGATATGCTTTGAGATGGGATGCTGTTTATCAGGGAATAAGAAAAGGCTCTGCTGATTCATTAAAGAAGTGTCCTATACCCAGAAGCTATTAAACATTATTGTACTTAGATATTAACTCCTTTTGAACTAATTCCAAGTTTCCCATTAACTGTTATGGTTTTAATATCATGCCAATGTCCCTTTGTGAATTGCATTACTTGTAAATAAGCCAGAATAGTAATGTAGCCCACATAATGTGTATTATCTGCATAAATTTATAGGAAATGCACCATGCACTATGTAATCCCTGTTCACAATTTCCCTGATCAAGAAGCTGCACAAATTAAAAGAAATTTTAACAAACAGCAATTTCAGTTCATAATGAGTACAGTCTGTTCATTGGAAACTATTAACAAGCCATTAAAGCATGGAAAGGTGATGGGCTTAAGAAGCAAAACAAGTAAAATAACTAGAGACTGATTTTTCTTAATTGAGTGAACACTAAAAGGAAGTCTATTTTATCAATAAATCAAGGGATGACTCTGTGAAACAAATGATCACATCATAAACATTATCAAATTAAACTGTAACTTTATTTTCTTTTAGGACTTTATTCCCTTTGGCTCCCTTTTGACTATTTGACGCCCTTGCTAAAGTATTGCGCCAGAGACAGGATCAATAATGTAACTGCTATGCATTATGAATCATAACAGTGAGGCTAGCATAATATTTGAGGCTAGTTGGGTGTAAAGAGTACTACCACGGAACCAGCTCAATGATTTTCATATCCACTTAAACATTTTTGTGATCTGGAACATTAACTGTTTTTCATTTTCCCAACCCTAATTCAAGGTTTTGTGCACATACTGCAATCCCCTGTTGAAATCTGTAGACTCACTCATAAATTTGGGACTGAACCTGATACTTAACTAAAGCAAAAACTTTACCTAAACCCTGCAGTTTTGGTTTGCCAGTAACCTAGTCACAGTTTGATGAGATAACTCATACATGGCATTTCAGTAATTAAGAAGGAAGTTCAGAATTAATAACCCACATACTTCTGCCGCTTCTCCTGCTTCCTGCTGGACAGTTTTGACACTTGGATTTCTGTCTCTCATTTGCAGCAGTTCAAGGACAGAGTTAGCCACAACCTGCTGAATCAAGTTTGTTGAAGTCTGCATTTCTATACTTGGAGATTCTGTGTTTCCGTTAGGTTTATTATGCACAAATTCTCTGGGGCCTTTTCTGTTCTCGGTAACCACCAGGATCGATTTTCTTAGACATCTGTCCTTAGGATGGTTGCCTCCCTGTTGCTATGTCAACATAATGTGCAAAAAAAAAGACCCATGTGATTGGTATGTGCCCCAGATTCTAGAACCCCAGCATTATTTTTAGTTTTGACAGTCACTATGACAATAGCATATTGACCAATCACAATACACAAACTACCTCTGATGGTCAGTGGTCTTGTTGCAATGTCACAATTACATGTACTCAGATGCAAGTGCTCTCACAACACTAAACAATATTAGGAATGATAATTGCTTTTTGGAATATCCTATTGCAAGACATAAAATGACATTACTATTGAGCCAACACATTACCTGCAGTGACAACAAGTCATGTCGACCAGAGGTGCCAGATATTTATATTGATATAACAAAGCTTGAGGTTGTGTTCTTCATCTCTTTCTGCTTGAACTATTTCAAATAATTCTACGCAATGATGATTTGTTCTTACAGCTACAATTTAGTCAGTATAATTTGAAAGCCAGATGGAAGGACAATGATGACTTTAATGTAACTCTACACATTCAGCCTTGCTGTAAATTTCATGTAAGTCTTTTTTTTTCAGTCTTCTGAATACATAATGGCTTTTTGATAGATGAGACCATCATTTATTAGTACTTTTCACAGCTTTGGGTCAGTTGTAGCACTCTTAAGCCATGAGTGATGTTGGGCTCCAGTCACTTAAAAGGATCCAAAGATCCCAGATTGCAAATCCAAGTATTCTCGGACTTTCACAATTACTCCCAGAACACAGACCCACATTCTCATTTGTCCTACATTTTCTTTTATCGGTCCCTGTTGCAATGCATTTCTGACTGTATCTCTCCCCTTCTAACCCAATATATGTTGAGCTGAATCTTGCCATATTTTGGAAAAGTGTCATTTTTGTCAGATTTCATGGAGAGTTTCCCTCTGCAAGTCCTAGCTACTTTGCTTGCATAAACATGCCAGACTCACCTTATTAACTAACCACCCCATTAACTGACGCTTGTCTGATTCTAGTCTAATCTTTTCTTTCACCCTAAGTAGAAGTGCTTGCCACTATCGGGATATCCCGTGAACTCTGGCACAAGCATTATCTTTAAAAGGCTGTTGTGCACAGAGTCAAGCACTGTCAGTCTAGAGCTGCTCTGCACAGTTCATGATATTTTCCCTAGACATGGTAGATAAGGGGAAATTGGCACTAGCTTTGTGCACAAGGACTTGGACATCTTGGTGGATGGGGTGGTGCAGAGTAGGAATACCCTGTTGCCACAGAACCAGCAGAAGAGGCCATAACACCAGGCCCTGCTGACCTGGATGAAGGTTCCCAATCGGGTCAGTGCAGTTTCAGCCAACTGGAGGAATACTGAGCAAGAAGAAAGTCAATGACCAACTCTGCCCCACCAGGGTAAGTGCTGCCTTCTTTCATCTGCTATCTCACACTCACTCTATGTCTTCTACTGCACACATTTCCCACAAAGTCTCCTGCTCTACCATTCACACTATTGTATACAACAACTAACCCACTAGTAACCAACTTATTTCCCCCAAACCACTAACTCCGCATGGCCTCTGTGGTTGCCCACTCACTCACTCAGGACACCTCATCAGCTTTCCTCTACCTGCACTAGCACTGACACCTATGCTACTCAATTCCTTTCTCCCATTCAAGGAGAAAACAGCAGGTCAGAAAGAGCCAAGACTGGTGGAGGCAGGGGTGTGCTCAACATTCATCTCCTCAGCCCCTATAAGGAAGGGATCCTGATCCTGACCATCCCAACTAGGCAAATGACTGTGGCCAGACCTCTGGATTGATATTGGAGACTGCCCTTGACTTACTGCACCTGGATCCTCTGACTGAAGGGTGTCTCACTTGACTTGACCAGGGACGTGGGAACTCCAGCATCTGAAAGTTTCCTTCCAAGTCAGAAACCATCCTGACCTGGAACTATATCACCATTTCTCCAAAGTCTCGGAGCTGCTTTCCTAACAGCGCCCTGAATGCACACTACACCACATGGACTGGAGCAGTTAAAGAAGACAGATCACCACTACTACCACACGCTTTCCAAAAGCAAATAGGAAGGAGCGACAATCTATCAGCATCACTCATTTTCTATTAATTAATTTTAAAAAAGTGACTTGTCACTGCTTTTTAAAAGGGAAATCTGACTGTTACCAGTATTATTGTTGGGTATTGATGCAACTTCAGTGAATGGAATCAAAGTTCCTCCCATTGCAGGTTTTGTTCCTATTGCTTTCCTCTTTTCCCTACCCTTGATTTCCCATTTTTGTTTGCTTGCCTCTGGGTTCTGGCAACATTTTGCCCAACAACTGTGAGAATGAAACCATGAAAAACGGTATTAAAGCAGTGGAGGCCTAACCATTGTAAGACAAATTGAAAATCATCTAGAGATACCACAAGTTCAAATGTCACATGGTCAGACATTCAATGATAAAACCTGCAGAAATTCCTCAAACTTAGTGAGAATTCTTGAGAACAGCAAAATCCCCTGTAAACATTGTTTCCATTGGGCAAAGTAATTAGGAAAATATTCTGCATTGATGTTCTTTAACAAGCTTTTAGTAATTGATATGAAACTGGCAGCGGTCACTTTTTTAAATCTGTTTGTTATTAAACTCTCTTTCCCTCACAGAATTTTCAGCAAGATACCTTCCTGAAGAGTTTCAACATCATATTTGGAAATATAAGCTTCCCGAGTTGAATGCCACACATTGTACCAGCTGACAGGAACACAGGGTCCACTGGATATTTGTGATTGCTTACTGATAATGCTGGCTGTGAACAGTGCTTCATCCATTGTTGCATAAGATGGCTAATATTTTGCTTATTAAAAACAAATGCATGCATAGATCACTCTCTCTGAGGCCCATTAGAGTACAGAATGTTAATCTGCCTTCCTCTTAAAATCCAGGGACTTTTCAATCATTATTCACTTCTACTCGATCAACCTTGTCTTTTTGCACGCTCTTGGTAAATATTCGTCTCTAGATTTTGCCCTTAATCTAAAGTCTTCATTTAAGAGAGGTAGAGTCATCTCCGTGCATCCAGGATCATAGGAATGATAAAATGATTACAATGCTAAAGGAGGTCATTCATCCCTTTTGTCTATATCAGCTCTCTGCAAGAACAACATTGCTATTTATTCCCACTGTTCTGCCTTTTCCATGTGGCATGACAATTATTTTCTCTTCAGATGCTTATCTAATTGCCTTTTGAAAGATACAACATAATCTGCCTCCACTAAACTCTCAGTTAGTGCATTATAGATATTAACCACTTGCTACATAGAAAAGGTTTTTTTTTCAGGTCACCATTGCTTCTTTTGTCATTCTCTGTCTCTCCAACTCTGTCTAGATCACTCATGATATTGAACAATCTTTTAAACCTACTCTCAACCTTTTCTTCTTTTCTCTTCTCTTCTCTAAGGAGAATAACCCTAATTTCTCCACTCTATCGTCATATCTGAAATCTCTCATCCCCAAAACCCTTCTCATAAGGCTTTCTCTATCATCTTTAAAGCCTTCACATTCTTCCTAAAGTCCCAGAATAGGATACAAACTCCAGATAAGAGTGAACCAGTATTTTATAACAGTTTACCATAACTTCCTTGCTTTTGTTTGCTACACCTCTATTTGAAGTGCCCAGGATCCGATACCATTTGCCTTTTTAATCACTTTCCCAACCTGTTTTGCCACCTTCAGCGGTTTCCAAATATGAATCTCCAAATTCTCAGTCCCTGCATCCCTTTAGAATTGTACCCTTAAGATTCTATAGTCTCTCTTCATTCTTCATATAAAAATAAATCACTTTACACTTCTCTGCATTACATTTCATTTATTTTGTCCATGTTTGTTCCCTCTTGAAGTCTATCATTATCCTACTCGTTCACAATACTACAAGTTTTGTGTCATCCACAGATTTTATAATTGCACTATGTAAGTTCAGTAATTCTTGTACCAACACTTAAGGAATCCTGTGATGATTCGAATTAGGTCGTCCAGGTGGACCTCATATTCTATGAGTTCCCTTATTTGAGTGTTAACCTGGTCCTATCAGGGTGTCCTGACTTATGGATATAAACAAGAGTGGTAGGGGTTCTGTTCACTCTAGGAGCCAGCTCTGAGCTAGCTGGGTGAGTGTTATGTACTGTGCAAACTAAATGAAGGATGACGTAGTGACAGGTTACTGGCCTTTGTGGACTTATTTCAGTGGCAAAAAGAGAAAAACACGCTCTTGAAGAGATTCGCTCGCAATAATATTCCTTAGCTAAATCCATCAACTCTTGAAAGGTTTTCTTATCTGGTGCCTCCGGCAAAATTAGGCTTCTAATAACTGAAAAAGCTGCAGGTCCACAAGCTGTCAGGAGAATTGCTCATTGGGATAAGAATTTCTGATATGCCACTATTTGGGAAGCTTGACTTGTTCAATCCTGCCGTCGAAGACTGGGCCCTGCATATAGAAAGAATGTATTATTTTTTCCGGGCAAATGACTTTGGGGCAGACAAAAAGCAATGAGTAATTCTCCTGACAGCTTGTGGACCTACAGCTTTTTCAGGTTTTAGAAGCCTAACTTTCCCAGAGACACCAGATAAGAAAACCTTTCAAGAGTTGACAGATTTAGCTAAGGAATGTTATGACCCCAAGCCTTCTCTAATTCTGAAATGCTATCAGTTTTACTCAGCAGTTCAAGAACTGGGGAATTCTGTGCAAGGAATTTTGACAAGGTTAAGATGATTTTGGTTTAACCCTAAGTGAGATGCAGAGAGACAGTCTGGACTTCAAATAGGCACTACAACTGGCTCTGTCATTAAAAAATGCAGCCAGTGGAGCTTATAAGTTACAGGGTATTTGATGGTAGCAGACAACCTTGCCAAGCTGACTGAGCTTGAGGAACACCACTTAAGTGAATGCAATTGCATAGCCTCACTCAAGATATATCCTGAACAGAGGGATCTAGGTCAGCCCACAACAAAACAAAACAAAGCCAAGCATTGGCCAAATGGTTATAATTTTCTTGAGGATCTGGGCCATCATGCCATTATAGTTGCTGCCAGCATATGTACTTAAGACAGCAAAAGAGTCACACTAGGCTAGAACTGAGTAAGAGAACTCATAGGCCTGTATCCAGAAGAGTGCACATCCTGGAAAGTCCACCTGGTTTGGAACAGGTAAATTGCTTAGCAACATCCAGATCAGAACTAATCAAAATAAACATCTTGGTTAAATGGTCAACTAGTTCCAATAGAGGTTGATACCAGTGCAATAGAATCAGTGATTGCAGAACCAGTCTTTACCAAGATTTGCACTGGACTCTAACCCTCAAGTTTGCATAAGACGTTGGCTAGGCTGAGAACCTATAATCAGGGAACCCCTACAGATTAAGTGTACAACTTTAATTCTGATCCCTTAAGAGGAGCAGTTGGTTCAGTTATCAGATTGTAGCTAAATCCTCGGGCCCAAGCTTAATGGGGCAGAATTGGTTGAGAAAGATTGAACTTGATTGGCTCAACATTTTTTGATTAGAAAATGACTGTCAGAATGAAGTCCTCATTGAATATCCAGAAGTTTTCAGGAAGGTCAAGGGACTATCAGAAGGGGCCGAGGCCAATGAAAATACACCCAAATGGACAAGGAAGGTTTGGCAGTCATCATTCCATCAATATCTTTGCAGATGTAAATTTGTGATAGTAACAGACCACAAACCCCTGCTAGAGCTACTTAAAGAGCACGGGGCCGTGCCGCCCATAGCTTCAGGTCAAATTCAGCGGTGGCCTCTTATTCTGAGTGTGCACAGTTACAAAGTTGGGAAAAAGGAGGCTAAGTGGTAAATGCAGATGCCTTGAGCTGCCTCCCACTGGCGGATACTCCACTCGTGGTGCTGCCACTGGAAGAGTCCATTATAATTTTACACTTTCTGGATACCCTTCCGGTTACCGCTGACAATATCAGACTGTGGGTGCGAAAAGATCCAGTCCTGGCAAAATTAAAACAGCTGGTGATGATGGGGGAAACAAAAGGACCTTCATAGTCAGAACCGAAACCTTTCTGGACCTGAGAAGACCAGATCACCATAGAGGATGGCATATTATTTTGGAGAGCAAGAGTCATAATCCCGAGCAAAGGTCACTGCCAGATACTGGCTGAACTCCACCAGCAGTTTCCAAAATGAAAATGTTGGTGAGAAGTTATGTTTGGTGGCCAGGATTGGATGCCAACATAGCCAGATGCTGGGGCAGTGCCCAGAGTGCCAACAAGGTCAAAAATTACTGCCTTCTGCTCCTCACATTCGTGAGAATGGCTGGGGAAACAAAAAGATCCAAGATGGCGGCGGAGTAGGCCACATCTCACAAATGAATAAAAAAGGCTTTAACTTTTGTGACAACTCAGGAAATAGTTGGGCTTGATTACCAGTGTGCTACCTCATTGAGTCATGACAATACAAAACTTGGAATCCTTGCAAATTATGAGGAAGACAGTGTTAAAACTAGAAAAGAACATTGAGAAGTTGGTTGAGTCAGCAGATAGACTACCAATGAAGTTCAATTCAGAGCAGTGTGAGGAAATGCATTTTGGCAGAAGGAACACAGTGGTATAGTGTATACACTCCCCTAAAGCATTTGCAGGAGCAAAAAGACCTGAGTGTATTTGTGCATAAGTCACTAAAGGCAGCAGGACAGGTAGAGTGAGTGGCTAATAAAGCATATAATATTCTGGGCTTTATTAATACCAGTATAGAAAAGGAGCAAAGAGGTTATATTGAATTTGTATAAGACACTAATTATACCTCAGCTGGACTGGGTGCCACATTTTAGGAAGGATGTGAACAGGAGTGCAGAAAAGCTTTACGAAGATGATAGACTTCAGTTATGATGCTGGATTGGAAGTTGGGACTGTTTTCCTAGGAGGGGAAGGCTAAGAGGAGATTTGATAGAAGTTTTCAAAAGCATGCGGGAGCTAGCCAGAGTAGATAAGGAGACATTTTCCCCCATAACAGGATCAGGAACAATAGGGCACAGGTATAAGGTAATTTGCAAAAGAAACAAGTGTGATGAGAGGAAGATCTTTTTAATACAGCTGATAGTTAGGGTTTGGAATGTAATCCTTGAAATGTGGTGGAGGCAGGTACAATCGAAGCATTCAGTAGGGCAATATATTAATTGTTATTCAGTTAAAGCTATTGTATTTATTTGACGCCCCCTGGTGTTCTAAGTTTGGATCAGCAGCAAAATTTTTATTCGGAGTTGCAAGTTTTGTCATTCTCTGAGGGGAATAGGAGAAATACACAAGAAATCATTTCTGTATTTAGAAGTATTTGCTTTTTCCCATTTACATGCTAGTTCATCAATTTTTGTAAAGTCCAGTCACTCCCTGTCATTCAGCATATTGATGTACCCTCATTATCAGCTTAATCTATGGGCTCATCCTTCAGGATATAAATGGTCACCTGCCCACACTTACTTAAGGGAGTATTATAATATGGGAAGAACCTTCTTAATATCTGAACTTCCAAACATTTGGACTCTTAAAAGTGTTTGATAAAGTATTCTATGATATCCTTGTATTAAAAGGACAGTAGCAGCATAGGTACAAAATTGCAAAAGAACAGAAAACAGAAAGTAATGATGAATGGTTGTTCTGTGGAATAGAGGGAAGTATTCAGTTGTCCAATGTTAGGAGGACCTGTATATGCAGCAGAATTTCAAAATTTGTACTTCATGTGCAAATCAGAAAGATTATCAACAACGAAGAAGATAATTACAGATTTCAGGATAACTAAACTTATAGAACACAGAATTATTGGCTTTATTAATCAAAGCACATAATGCAAAAACAAGGAATTTAAACTAAAATTTTATAAGTTTATCTTGCTGAATATGTTTGTCAATGCAAAAGTAACAATCTAGCTGTGCAGAATCCTTTGGGGAAGAGTGACCATAATATGATAGAATCCTTCATTAAGATGGAGAGTGACGTGGCTGATTCTGAGATTCTGAAATTAAATAAGGAAAACTGCAATGTTATGAGGTACAAGCTGACAATTATAAATTGGGGAAAGTTACTTAAAGGGGTCACAGTGGATAGGCAATGGCAAACATTTAAAGATTGCTTGAAGGAACTGTAACAACATTTCATCCCTGTCTGGCACAAAAATAAAATGGAAAAGAGGACCTAATCATGGCTAATAAGGGAAATTAGGGATAATATTAGGCCTGTGAAAGGGGCATACAAATTGGCCAACAAAAGCAGTAGACCTGAGGATTGGGAGCACTTTAGATTTCAGCGGAGGACAAAAAGATTTTTTTTTGCAAAAGAAGTTATTAAGATGGGGAAAATAGACCATGAGATTAAACATTAAACTTGTAAAAACTGCTATAAGTATTTGAAATGAAAAAGATTAGTGAAGACAAATGTAGGTCCCCACAATCAGAAACAGGGAAGTTATAATGGGGAACAAAGAGATGGAAGACCAATTAAATACATATTTTGATTCTGTCTTCGCAAAGGAACACATCAATAACATCCCAAAAATGCAGAGAGTGCAGGGTCTATTGTGAAGGAGGAACTGAAGGGAATCAGTATTAGTAAGCAGATGGTGCTGAGGAAATTGATGTGATTAAAGACCAATAAATCTCCAAATAATCCACATCCCAGAGTACTTAAGGAAACGGCCCTAGAAATAATGGATACATTGGTGATCAACCTTCAAGAGCCTATAGACTCTGGAATAGTTCGTATGGATTGGAGAGTAGTTAAAGTAATCGCACTATTTAAAAAAGGGAAGCAGTGTGGAAAATGCTAGAATCCATTATAAAGAATTTAATAGGAGACCACATAGAAAACAGTGACAGTATTGAACAGAGTCAGCATGGATTTACAAAAGGAAATCATGCTTGACAAATCTACTAAAATTTTGAGGGTTTAACTAGTAGAGTTGATAAGTGGGAGCCATTGGATGTGATTTACTTGGATTTTCAGAAAGCTTTCAATAAGGTCCCATATAAGAGATTAGCATGTAAAGCTATAGTGCTTGGGATTCAGGTAGTGTACTGATACAAATAGCAAAGTAGGTGGCAGACAGGAAACAAACAGTAGGAATGAATGGGTCTTTTCTATTGGCAGGAAGTGACTAGTGGGGTATTGCAGGAATCAGTGCTTAGACCTCAGGTATTCACAATATAT